AGAACATGGAAAGTGCAGCAGAGGAAAGTCCAGGAGCTGAGTCACAAATGAGTGAGTAACACATGAGCCACAGAGCAACAATCAGCCACAAGGTCACTGATGGCTATCAGGAACTGAAACGTCACCTCCAGCCACTCCAAAAGTCCCCCTCAACACGTCAGAATCCGTGGGACAGGTGCACAAGCCCTGTGCCTACTGTCAGTGCAGGACAGCATGATCAGCATTGGGACGAGTTTCCAGACCACAAACAGGGCACGAGGAAGGCTGCAAGAACAGCACAATGCTCTCCCACTGCTCTGAGCAGCCTGCCATATTCTCTGGGAAAGGGTAAAGCTATTTAGGCAGAGACCAGTGCTCATTCTCCCGTTTTCTCCCTCTTCTGCTCTAAGTACCAGGCTTCACATTCTCAGTCTCCTGCGCACCCGATGAGAGCAGCACCACCCCAGGCTGGACCTCGAGACCAGCCTACACAAGAGGCAGCCAGGCCCACCCAGGCCTCTTGGGCCTTTGCCCTCTTCACCCTGACAGACACACCCCAAAAAGGGGACCTGCGTGTGCCCACACACGCGTGACACAGATTCCCTCTTACTAAAGTATACTAAAAGATGTCAACAAAGTACTTCTTATAAAGTCTTGGCTTACACAGTCACACAGTGTTTTCCTCCCCAGAAAAGGTACAGAAAGAAACTTGGTCAATGGACAGCCATCACACACAGCAAACCCAAGGACATCACAATCTAGGAAGGATTGAGCCTCTCCTACTCACATGAGCTTGCCAAGCCAAACACCACAATGTTGAGCTGAAAAAAAAGATCCTGCTGCAGCAGTGCACAACTTTTCCTACAGCTACATGTCATCCGTGTAGCTTCTAGGCACAGCAGGCACAAAGCTCTCAGTTTCAGGTTCACCACTAGCCAGCTTCAGGAGGCTAAACCTGGTCTGCTTGTGTGGTGCTGCAATCCCACTCCATTAGGAAGTTTCTATTCCTAGGAGGAACAGCAGATAATTCTTGAGACACCTGGACAAACCAAGAAAAGTAAGTTATGCATGCATGCTGCCTGCAAGAAGGAAATGGAGTGTTACAGCAGGACAGCAGAAAAGAGGGGTTGGTTTTCCAGGGACAGCAGCCAGAAGAGAGCCAGGCAAGCACAGACCCCACCAGCTCTGTGGTTACCCTGCCCTCATGCTGTAGGGCCTTGCCCTGTGCTTCAGCCATGGGACAAGATACCCTGTAAAGCCTCACCCGTGTGCTGGTCAGGACAGCAACCAGGGATGTGGGTACAATTTCAGAGCCAGATTCAACTCTGTGAGGAAAGCAGCACAGTCCACAACACTGCAGGAACCACATGTACTGCCCCATGTTCCACAAAAAATGGAATTTGGGGAACATAAGCAATTTCTATCTTGTTAAAAAGAGGCCTTAGTTAAAAATATCGCAGAAGCATTTGATTTTGATAAAACTAATCTGAACTTTCGCAGGAATTACACTCTTTGCACTACAGAAGCTCCTTGTTTGTAGGAAGAATTACAATCAATGAACTCAACACTCAGTCCTTTTATACAGCTGAAATTTACGCAGAATAGAATACAGAAGAGCCAGCTGGAAGGGGCCACCACAGATTCCCTGATTCCACTGCTCAACCCAATCAGGGCTGGCCCATGTCACAGCCTGCTGGGCATTGTCCAAGTGCCTCAAATACAGACAAGCCTGGGACACTGACCTCCTCTCCAGGAAGCTGGGGGCAGGTGTGACCCTCTCAGTAAGGAAATACTCCCTCTTGCCCAGCCTGAGCCTCCTCAGATGCAGCTTGGAGCCATTCCCTGGTGTCCTTGCCCTGGATCCCAGGGAGAACACCTACAGTGGGACCTTCTCCTCTCATGAACATCTGGTTCTGTTGTGTGTAATAGTCCCAGGATGGCGTTCTGTGCCATCCCATCCTGCTCCCGCCTGGACGAGGTTTGCCCTCTCCATGCCAGGGCACATGCTCACTCCAGCCAAGATGCTGCCGACCAGCACCCGGGTCCCTTTGGTTCCTTTCTGCAGGGCTGCATTCTACCCACTCCTCTGCCCGTTCAGACGGGTTCCCAACACCATTTCCCCTTGTGAACCAATGCATTTTCATTAGTGGATACGGTTCAGTCAGGTGGCTGAAGCTAAAACATGAATGCTGCCTTCAGCAGCTCCTGCTCGGCGGCTCGGCCAGGACGGCGCTGCCCAGGGCCCGCCCAGGGTCCCGGGGCCGGTCCCGGTCCGGATCCCGGGCCCGTTCAGAGTCCCCTCCCCGACCCCGGCACAGCCCCGAGGGTGCGGCCGCATCGGGGCGTGGCCAGAGCGGGCCGCAGCCAATGGAAGCCGCCGGCGATGATGTAACGCTCCGCGCCGCCTGCCATTGGTTGGACCCGCGGGCCGCGCCCGGCCCCGCCCGCGGTGCCCCGGGACGGGCCCGGGTTCTTGTCCCGGTCCCGGTCCCGGTCCCGCACGGGCCGCGGGGCGCTAGGGACGGCCTGAGGCCGCTTGCCCCGAATCGGGAGAAGGCGGGCAGGGCGTGCGGGGACGGCGCGGCCAGCGCAGGCCGTCCTGCCGCCCCACGACCATTCCGGGACCGGCGGCGCGGGCACTGTCCCGCCGAAATGTGCTCGTTTCGGTAAGCAGGCACCGACATCCCCGGCTCACAGCCAGCCCGCTCCTCCCTGCTCGCAGGCCTTCTCTGCACTGTCGGCACAGCCCCACCTCTACTGCAGCGAGTGCATCACTCACGGATGATAAAACAATATTTAATTAAAAAAAAACCAAAAAACCAAGGCCGTTACATTTCAAAACCTACACCGGACGGCACTCAAAGCAAGCAGGAAAGAATATCACACATAGAGAGTACCAGAGCACAGGCAGAACACACTGTCTCACTCTGCAACCATGTGTGTGCACCCATTCCTCTCCAGATTATCACGTCTCATTGTTTCCACGGTGTCACCTCATCCAGCAGACACTGCCATAAAAAAAATCGGGACTGCATCACTGGGGAAAGGTCGGCAAATGCTTTTTCCACGGAATAACACCATCTCCCTGTGACGGGTAGCGAGTAAGAGCCTGTTCACACACTGCACTGACTGGAATAACCAGTGTGGACTGAGCTGTCACACCTCCCCAGGAAAGAGGGCATTCTGCGCTGGGACGCTCAGAAAGCAAAGCTGTTATTGCAAATAAATTTCAGGTTAGGACATCTGCGGTGCCAGAGTTTACTCCAGAGAGCAAATCAGCCCAAATGATTAGGACAGCAAAGAGAGTCTGATGTCATGCAGTTCAGGGAACAAAAGCCTCTCCACAAGCTGGGGGCTAATTGAGCCACAAATTCACACGTGAAATCCAAAGAGACACCAGGATTTCACTGCAGGCTCAGCTGCAGCTGAGGCTGCTCCCAGTCAGACACAAGACTGGGCAGCCTCGATGAGTGAAGGCTTCAGCAGCAACAGCCCCGAGCTCACCCAGATCACTCAACAATGTGTTCTGTGGCCCCAATGCCCATCCCTCAACTTGTGATGGTACAGCAGAGCTCTGATCTCTACAGAGGCAGCCTGAAGTGATAAGACAATCATTTAGCCATGCCAAAATTTCAATTCATTTCATTTGTCTGCCGAGGGGAAACTGAAATCCAAAGAAAACACCCAAATATTACTTATATTGTAGGAGAACACAGAAAACCCTGTCTCTCTTTGTCTCAAAATGATCAGTATTAAATAAAACACATTGAAAATATAACACAAACAAATCAGCATTGTTCTCCAGCATGTGCCCTGACAGTGCAGAGCAAGAGATAAAGCACTTCAGGTATGGAATATATTGTGAAGGACAGAGCCAGAGCTTCACACTTCCTTAAAAAAAGGGAAAAAGGAAACTTTTTTTTTAATGTTAAAGCTACATTTGTAATCAATCTGCAGAGCCTCACCAGAAAAGGCACATTCTGACCACACCATGCCAGCGTTTGGCTCACACTAAACTAAACCATGACAGCTCTCAGCAAGCAAAGGTGAAGAACTGCAGGGAATCCCTGACCTTACTCTGACCTCCAAATTTACATCAGAACAAATGACTCTCTCACCATCACTGGGGTTTGCACTGCCCTTTTTGCAGTGGTGGACAAAGCAGACAAACCGCTGTGCTCAGCCCCTGACTCGGCTGAGAAAAGCCCCATCAGCACTTGTGCCGCAGCGCAGCGCTGGAGCGAGCACGTTGTCTGGCTGTCAGCACCTGCCAGGGCTGCACAGCCTGCCCAGCTAGGGCAGGGGCACTGTGCCAGCACAGAGCAAAAACCAGTTTGTGCAGACAGCCGCCAGCAAGAAAAACAGAGCCAGCAACGAGCGGAAAAAAGGATATGTCCCAAACAACACGATCTAGTCTCCTTGTGCCTTTACACCGTACACTGCCAGCACATGCACTGAGCAGTGGGCGTGAGTAGGACAGGCCAAGAAACAAGCCTGTGTAAACTGACTGTGCTTGATCCTGATTGCAGAGGACAAAGCAAAGCAAAAGCGAGGATTCAAAAGCTGATGATCCTGGGTAACTGGCCACCTCGGCAGCAGGTACCATGCAAACTCCCAAGAACACCAAGAACTATCCAGTCACTACTTTTCGCCATTCCCAGAGAGAAAGATCTATGAAACGCGACGCACACCGGGAGCGGCGGAGCCACTCCCTACTCCACAGCAGCAACAGCTGGCCGTCACACCGGCCTGCGGCAGGGGAAGACACCACTGCCTGCGCTCCAGCCGAGACGCTCCGGGCCCGAGGGACGGCAGCCCTGAAGCTGGCGAAGGGCCACCCTTCTCCCCGCCTCTCGGGAGCGCGACGGACCCCTACTTTGGGGCCTAGCTGTCCCGGGGACAGGTGGCAGGAGGACCGGGGATGAGGGGGGAAGGCGGGGGGGAGGCGGGACAAGCGGCCGTCTGGGCCCCGCCCGGGCTCCCCCGCAGTCCAGCTCCGGGAACCGGCCCCCGGCACTGACCTCCTCGCGCCGCTTCTGCCAGCGGCCGCAGGGCGACTCCTCCAGGATCTCGGACTCGTCCTCGCTCTCCTCCTCCTCCTCCTCTGGGGGCGCCGCGGAAGTCACTGGCGCAGACACCGAGGTCATCCCCGGACCAGACGAGGCGGGCTCTGGCTTGGGGTCGGAGCCGCTGCTGGGCACCTGCTTGGACTCGCCCTCCGACATGCTGCGGTCTCACACGCTGCGGGAGAGGCGCGGTCCGTGAGGCGCGGTGGGACGCCAGGCCAGGCTGGGCCCGCCGGGCGGACCGGGCCGCGCCCGCCGGGCCTGTCAGCCGGGGCCACGTCCCTAGCCTGCCAGCGGCGCTCGACCTAGCCGGTCCCGGGGCGAGGCTGGGGACGAGGGGTGGGAGCCACGCACTTACCGGGCCCGCGGTACCTCCCGGTCCCGAGCACGTCCCCGCCGCAACCGCCGCGCTGCGTAACGCGCCGTGCGGGGTGGGGCCTCTGCCGCAGCCAATCAGCGCCGCGAGCGGCGCGTCAGCACCCGCCAATGGCCGGCGGGCGGGGCTCCGAGGTGCGTCACACGATAGGGGGAGCCCTGCGTGAAGGGCCGTGAAGGATCATGAATAGGGCAGGGCAGCCCCCTGCAATAGCCAATGAGACAGCGAGAGGGGGCCCTCAGGGCCGCTGACTGGTCGGTGGGCGTGACTCAAGCTGTATAAGGCGCTGTGTGCGAGAGGGCCCCTCATGTAGAGGGGCAGGGCAATAATTGTGGTATTTGTGAGCGTGCGCGGCTTTATCTGTGCGAGTGGGCGCCCGCGGCACTGGCTGGCGGCGGCATCGCCGGTCCCAAGTCCGCTGTTCTCCCGGAGGAGCCTCAGGGCAGGTCGAAGCTACCGGCAGGCCGTGTAGGTAGTCCTGGGGCGGAGCGGGCCGCGGTGCCGCTCTAGCCGCGCCTCTATGGTCGGCGCTTCCGGCCGCCGAGCTTCCGGCCGCGCGACTTCCGGTCGCCGCCCGCCGGTGCGAGGTCCCGCCACCCCCGCAGTCCGCCCGCGCCCCCCGGTCCGGTCCGGTCGCCGCCGACCGAGGCCGCCGCGGCCGCAATGGGCGCCTACTTGTCGCAGCCCAACACGGTGAAGAGCTCCGGGGACGGCGCCGGGCTCGGGCCGCGCCCGCTGCACTTCGGGTTCAGCGCCATGCAGGGATGGCGCGTCTCCATGGAGGTGAGGGGGTGAGGCTGGCGGGGCGGCCGCATCCACACCCGGCACTCCTCGGGGTCCTGCGCCGACAGCCCCCGAATAGCGAGGAGGTCCAGGGACTCTCGGTTACTCCCTCCCTCCCGAGGCCGGGAGGGGCATTTTACTTCTCCCGGTGCCGCTCCAGCCTTTCCCGAATTCCACACGGCAGCCGCGTGTTCCGGCTCCTGCGGGGAGAGTACCCCTGTGTCATGGGAGACGCGTGCGGCTGGATAAATCTCTGCGAGAAATTAGGAATTCGGGGTAAAAAACGAAGGAAAGGAGCGCTTAGTGCTTGGGGTGAAGCACTGAGTGAAAGCAAGTGGGCAATTTTCAGAGGAAATGCCTGGTTTTCTCCCCTAAAATGAAGTGTTGGTGTCTTCCTGTGCTTCTTCCCTGTTTTTATTTGCTTATAGGAAAATTTGTAGGAAGAATTCTCATGGCTACTCTCAGTCTCCTGTTGGCAGTCCTGGCTTTGCTGGGCTCGTTGTGGGCAGATGAGCTACCACCAGACCACACCTGGCTGAGGATCCAGGTGTTTGCCCGCGTTCCCCCAGTGCAGGAGGCTGCAGGAACTGCTTTTAAAGTTCTTGACTGGTGTGAGGGCAGTGTGGGGCTGCTGGCCCCGCAGCTCTGTGAACTTCAGACCCTCTGTGAGTACCAGTAATATGCTGGTTTGTTTTCCCTTCTGGGCAGCCAGTAAACAGCTGAATTCGGTAAGGATTAATCCTGGTCCCTGCAGCCACCCCAGGTACATCTCTCAGTGTTTGGTTCGTAGCTCTATGGCTGGTTTGGAGGGGATGTCCCGTTCAGGCTCTCAGATATAGGTTCATAAGCCATTTTGTCAGACACTTCACCCCTTCTTGGAGTGGGCCAAGTGACAAATCAATGACCAGAGGTGTTTTCCTCCTTTCTGTGTGTGAAACCCTGGGCTCTGGTTCTCAGGATAGAAGATGCAGAATTGGTGAATTCACTTAGAGTACGTGTGTGGAACTCGCTGACGGTGTCTGAGCTGGTCCTTGCCAGTGGCCCATGGAGGGGGGACAGAGATATTGCTGGAGCACTGAGTGTAATCTCAAAGGCGATTAACGTGCGTGTAAGCAGCTAAATGCAGGCTAAATGGCTCTGGTATCCCTTTGCACAGAGCTGGGATGTGTTAGGGAGCCAGGCTGGGATGAGGGAGAGCAGAATAGCACTGATTTATGGCGCTGGTGGGGTCACTGAGCCCTCCCACAGCTGGGACATGGCTCTAACTTCACTGACTAGGGGGCTGTCACTGGTACCTTTGCAGAGGCTGGGTGAGGCCCCAAGCTGCAGATGTGGGTTCTGCACTATCCAACATCTCTGCTTTATCCTTGCTCGCAGAGACAGCACTGAGGCCAGTGTGCATGATTTAGTTGAGTTATCCCAAGAAACAAGCATATGGCAGCAGCTGAACCTGTTGCAGATTGCTTCTGAACCTGATGGGAGAGAAATATGTGTTTCGCACACAGCTGAGCAGTCAATTTCTCTTGCATTCCAGCACTCTGTGTTCTGCTCTGTCCCATCTTGTTGTGGGGTTTTGTTTTTTTTCTTCATGTTCAGTTGTACTTTTGCTCTTCTGCAAGGCTTGGAGAAAGTCCTGAGCAAATGTTTGTGCTTAATGCTGTGGTTCCGTGTGTGTTGGTGAAGCCAGTCAGTGTGCACCTGGTAAGATAGGTATTTTGGGTGTAAAGGAGCTTGTTGTCACCTTGTACTTGGGTTTTAGGAGCCTTCAAGTGAGCTGGGTGTACAGGGCTCTGAAGAAATACTGCAACTTAGTCCAGAGAGGTTGCTTTGGGAGTAAAGAAATGTTTGGGGCAGATGAGGGACCCCAAGGATAAGGATAAGAAAAAAAAAAATTGTATTGGGAAGGAAAGGGCTGAAGTCAGTTTTATGGTCCAGAGGAGTGCTCTGGGGTATAGTGGGAGACACAGGATGTGGTTGGATGGGGCTTTTCCAAACTCTTTGCTCCTGTTTTGACTGTACCCTCACAGTGAGACACCAACGGCCCCAGTTTGCAGCTTCATTCCTCTGCCAGGCTTAGAGCAAAAGCCCTTGCTTCAAAAACTGAAAGAGTTTGGTTCAAAATAGGGAGATTTGTTAAATGAATTCTCAGGTTAATTTATTGATTTGCTTACTCATTTCAATTGAATTGGGTGTTTGATGTTTCAGACAGAGTTTTTCACCACTGTTACAGTAGTCACTCAGGTGACTGGAGAGAGTGAGGGACCCCAGAAGGCTGGATAGCAGGGAGTGGACTTTCAGAACCTTTGTGAACTCTTCCAGCACGCAAGGTCAGAGTCAGTGAGAGGACAGTCCTGAGCAGGGCTGGGGGCTAGGCTGGGTGCTGCTGCCTGGCAGCACATGGAGGTTTTGCTGCTCTGCTGGTGGCGTTGGCAGTGCCAGGACCTGGCTTTGCCCTGTGTGCAGAGCAAGCCCCATGCATCCCTCCCTGCCCTTGTGCCCCCTCAGTGGGGGGACAGATCAGGACAGGCTGCAGAGGGGGCTCAGCAAGGGCAGCACGGACTATTTTTGGTGCCAGTGCTGGGTTTCCTCCCCAGCAGCATTTGCATGTCTTTAATGACACTGCTGTTTCGTCACCTGGGACTTATCCCAGTTATTGTGCTGGGGGTTCACTGTCTCACTGGCTTCTGTGAGTGTCAGAAAAGTGTGTACTAATGCTGCTTCTGGGTTTATCCCTGTTTGCATTTGCTCTCTCCAGTGAGGGCTGGGGAAGTTTCCTGCATTACCATTCAGTCATTACTTGTTTTGGACTCAGATGGTCACTTGCCTGTTCAGAAGCTCTTTTCATGCCATTGCAAATAGTGCTACATAAACCCAGAACCTCACTGTTTCTGTTTCTTGAGCAAGAAACAAAGTTCTCTTTTTACAAGATACTGGAACTTTGGAGAGTGAAGAGACCTTATGTGAGGAGTCATACATAAAAAAGCAGTAGAGCTCAGTGGTTGTGATCTAGTTCTGTCTGTGTGTGTGTGTAAATTTTGGAATATTTCTGGCAGCATGGACACATCCAGATATTTGAGACTGCTGTCTTAGAGTAAGCACAGCGTTTTGGGGCAATTGTATCACATTTAAGGTGATGAACCACAGAAGAGATCACATTGTTGAACATATCACAGGATACATGTTCTTCCTGATTCAAAACGGGATGTGTCAGGTGGTGAGGGCTGGACTTGAAGGAATGTCAAGAGGTTAGCTGGGCAGGGGAAGGGCTTCGGAGAAAGGTTCAGCCTGGCCATCTGTTCCAGGCTCTGGGTTTGCTTGCCCACAGGGGAAGGAGTTGAAGCCCTTGGCTGTAAAATCACGGGGGTGCCTTCCTCAAAGCTGGCTGTTCCACGGAGACCTTCTGGAGAGAAGGGCTGTGCACTCTACATGGCTTGTGTTGTTGACCTTTGTGCTTTGTCCAGGGATCAGAATGGAGCCAGAGAAGGGTCTGGAGCACGAGTCTGATGAGGAGTGGCTGAGGGAGTTGGGGAGGGTTCAGTCTGGAGAAAAGGAGGATCAGGGGGACCTTATCACTCTTTACAACGCCTTGACAGGAATGCTGCAGCCAGGTGGGGGTCACACTTGTCTCCCAGGAAACAACAGACAGGAGAAGAGGAAACAGTCTCAAGCTGTGCCAGGGCAGGTTTCGATTCACTGTTGTGAGCAATTTCTTCATGGAAAGGTTTGTCCAGCCCTGGCACAGGCAGGGGCAGGGCAGAGGTGGAGTCCCCATCCCTAGAGGGGTTTAAAAGCAGTGTGGATGTGGTACCTGGGGGCATGGGACAGCACTTTGGGTTGGCAGTGGTTGGGCTCAGTGGTCTCAGAGGGCTTTTCCAACCCAAACAAATTTGTGTTCCTATGGTTTTCCGTGGGTCTAATGCAATCCCTGTCATTCCAGACCTTTGCTCTCTCTTTCAGGATGCCCACAACTGCATTCCCGAGCTGGACAGTGAAACAGCCA